TTTTTTTTTTTAAAAAAAAGGCTTTTTGGAGAGGGGTGGGCGGGAAGGTTGAGAAAGATTTTTGGAAAATATTTTCCCTTCTCTTGATAAGGAAAACATTTTCCTCCAATTGGAGGAAAATGAGTTCATGAGGAAAATGTTTTCCAAAACATTTAAGCCAACCAAACATAGGAAAATTGAAAAATATTTTCCGGAAAATATTTTCCTTCATACCAAACACACCCTATAAGGTTAAATGTAAATCAAATCGTCCAATTTGATTTTAATAGGGCAAAATTCATTCTGAATAAACTTACTCCAATTTTTTTGATCAAAGAAGAAAAAATAAATTTTTGATATAATATCTTTTCAGAGCAAGTTGTGGGAGTGAATAATTTTTGATATACAAAGAAGGATATAATTTTTTGATATATACAAAGAAGGAAAATAAACTTGTGATATCCATTTTGGTATACACATATTTGATGTATTATACACTGCCATATACAAATAGTACAATTATATTTATTATGATATGTATTGATATAGAGACGACAATAAATTTTAAATAACTATATTTATAATTTTATATTTTAGATAAACAAATAATGAAAATGAAATTTTATTATACATTTTGATATACAGAAGGAAATAAAAATAAAGTTGTGATATACACGTTTTTGTGTAAAAATTGCGTGGGATAGCCACTTTTTAAAGCGATATTTAGTTTTTATCTAGCATTTTTAATGCTGAGCAAAAATAGCCACTAGTCTATTAAAATCAATATGAAAAGACAGTATTACCCTTTCTTCTATCTCTTTTCTGTCCATGTTCTCTTCCTTGCCAGTGAACCTCCATGGCTTTGACGCCGCATAGTAGTGAGCAACTTTCACCTTCTCAAGTTCTACATTCTCCGAGTGACGCCACAACATAGCTAATACCAGGTTGCCTCTATATCGACGAGAATTGAGAAATATCAAAAGACAGAAACAATGTTACGTTCATTTAACATTGTTGATCTCGTTATGGGTTCATTTATTGGATAGAAGTGCTTTGTTCAGAGTATCGATACAGATATACATTCTTAAAATTTGTAGTATGGGTTACTACCGTTTTTGGTTTTATTTATTGAAACAATCAATAGCAAACTACGATGATTCTGGAAGAATTTTGTGCACTTCATTTGGTTAGTTACAAGCTCAAAAACGTTTGATTTTCTGCTGCGTTATGGATCCTGAACTTACGGTTACAAGTTCAAAAGTTAAGGACGCTTGGTCCTGAACTTCGAGTTCCAAGTTCAAAAGTTAAGGACACTTGGTCCTGCACTTAGAATTACAAGTTCAAAAGTTAAGGACACTTGGTCCTGAACTTAGACTAACAAGCTCAAAAGTTAAGGAGAATAGGTCCTAAACTTACAGTTACAAGTTCAAAAGTTAAGGACAATAGGTCCTGAAGTCCTGAACTTAGACTAACAAACTCAAAAGTTAAGGACAATAGGCACTGAACTTAGGCTAAGAAGCCCAAAAGTTAAGGACAATAGGTCCTGAACTTACAGTTACAAGTTCAAAAGTTAAGGACAATAGGTCCTGAAGTCCTGAACTTAGACTAACAAGCTCAAAAGTTAAGGACAATAGGTCCTGAACTTAGGCTAAGAAGCCCAAAAGTTAAGGACAGTAGGTCCTGAACTTAGACTAACAAGCTCAAAAGTTAAGGACACTTGGTTCTGAACTTATGAAGTTAAGTTCAAAAGTTAAGGACATGTAGTCGTGAAGTCCTGAAGTTAAGTTCAAAAGTTAAGGACCTGAAGTCCTGAACTTAGAGTTCCAAGTTTAAAAGTTAAAGGACACGTAGTCCTGAAGTCCTGGAGTTATTCTAAAGTTAAGGACATGAGCAGAAGGGTATTTTTGTCCGGGCAGTTAAAGTTTATTAAAGCAGTGGCTAAAGACTAAAGACATTTTAAACAGTGGCTTAGAAGTAAATACATGTGTTATTAGTGGCTAACCGTGTACTTCCTCCCGTTTTTGTAGTGATATACATTTATTGGCTACTTGGTGCCAATATTTATAAGTATGACTTTTTTCTACTAATTACGAGAGTACATTGTCATACCATGCCAGAACCCCTAAATTGATAGCCCAAAATGTGCGAAGTTTGTAGCAGACTTGCACCAACTTAACGGTACTAAACTTAACTGACGATGTGCAAAAACTTTCTCTGATTTTGTTTACCAGAAATTTTTGTTAAAGAAGGATCTCTTGATTTGTACGTTAATAACGTGCCAGAATTGAGTTGGGATTCTCAAAAGAAAAAAAAATTACGGATATCCATTCAATATAAAGAATAAATATATGTTACAACTTACTCCTATTAATTTTTCCATTTAACGTAAAATGACTGTTTCCAGAAGTAACGGAGTAGTGTAGACGTTATATGGAGCATTTACCAACTGTTTGACAAAAAAGTATTAAATTTTTTATTAAACCAATTAGTGAATGGAATAAAGGATAAATCTTAGCCAAAGGTAATTAACTTTAGATCGCAACATATTAAGCATAAAAATTGGAAGAGAATAAATTGATTTAATATTTCTTGAGATAGCTATCATACGTTAAGCGAGAATGGTAAGCTTACATATGTGACAGACTTGGATTACAGCGGAAGGAGTATAAAAGATGAAAAGGAAGCTGCAGATAACTGAAGAATCTTCTCCCCTTGGCTTCATAGTAGTGCTCTTCTTAGTCATAGCCAGTCCCCCCTTTCACAGTTCCCTCTTTCCCTGTATATATAAACAATGTCCTCTTTTATCTAACGGTCTTTGACCAGTCTCCTTTCCAGCGACAGTCCTTTGTTACTTATCCAAGACCGTACGCTTATCCCGCGGTGTAAGCTTTTTGACGGCTTGACCTCGACAGGGGTCGTGGGGCCCGTCGCTATTACGCCTCGTGAACACGACCATGGCGGGGTCGAACTTTTTTATCGCCTCCAGCTATCAGGGTCAGATTTTGACCCATAAAGCTAGTTCCTTCGTCCGTTGGGGTCGTCTTCGAGGCGAGCTCAATGGGCGGACCCTATATATTCGGGCATTTAGGAGAAATCTGGTCATTATGCGAGGACGGAGTCCTTATAGCGAGATGGCGGTGACGTTTTAGGAACTTCACCGAACCGTTACGTCCGCTTGGAGATGGATCATCACGTTAGTTTGGGCTATACCATGAATGCCTGGTACGTGTCATTATGACGCACGTTCCCCAGGCACCGCATCGCTTCTCGTGCCTTTTCAACTTTTAGCGGCTCTTGGGTTTCCCGCTCAGGGCATTTGTGTTCCTATATATGGGGGAAATTCATCATTCGATTGTTACGCTTTTCGTCTTGCTTGAAGAATTTTGCAAACTTCCACCTTCTTCGACATTTCATACTCGTGCTTTTGTCAGAAGGAGACATATCCACCCTTTTTATTCCTTCGTCATTCTTGTTCATCCAACCAGGCTAGATAAATGGCTGATTCCTCTTCTCAGACTGACACATTCGTCGGAGCTCCGGCGTCGAAAAACGATACACCTCTTCTTAGAGAAGGGATGGAGGTGGCGGAAAATGAGAGGTTTCCGACTGTGGATGAGATATTGCCCCGTCCAGGGAAGTTATGGACCGACTTTAACAGTCCTGCCAAATACGAACCGGAACCTGTCCCCTCTACCATGGATGAAGTGGCAACTATGGCGCTCAAAGCTAAATGGGGAATCCCAAACCATATCGACATGATACCAGTGACGGGAGCGGACATCGTGCACTTGAATCGCCTGGGGTATTGCGCATTTTATTTGTATCCTT